GGCATTGGCCCCCTGGATCCGAGACAAGGTGTGATAGGTCGGGGATGCAGGGGGAGGGGCTTAGGGCCTGGGGTCTAGGGCAGGTGCTGGGCTTGGTAGAATGTGGGCGGGCTTCGGAGGGGTGGGCCTTAGTCTAGGGCAGCGGTTCTCAACCTGTGGGTCGAGAACAGTGAAAATACATCCTGCATATCAGATATTTACATGACGATTCATAACAGTAGCAACATTACAGTGATGAAGTAGCAACGAAAATAATTTTATGGTTGGGTCACAACATGAGGACCTGTATGAAAGGGTCGCGGCATGAGGAAGGTCGAGAACCACTGGTAGGGTCTGCACTAGGTGATGAGTGGGGGCCTAAGAGAGGGATTTGGTGATGGGTGTGGTCCAGCGAGGGTGGACTGCTGGGCCGGCAGGACTAGTCACCCACTGTCTGGGGCCCCTCAGAACACCAGAACTTCTTCGGACTGGATGAGGTGCTGGGCCCGGTGGCAGTGAGCCTGCGGCGGGAGGAGAAGGAGGGCAGCGGAGGGGGCACTCTGCACAGCTACCGTATCATCGTGCGGACCACGCAGGTGGGCCAGGGTCATGGGGTCAGGCCGCGGATGTCATCCTCAACAACCCGCATGTATTCTGAGCGCCCCTCCATTTCCTCCTCAGCTCCGGACCCTCCGTGGCACCATCTCGGAGGAGGTGCTGCCTCCAGGGCCCCCGAGGGGCCTGTCCCCGAGGAAGCTTCTGGAGCATGTGGCGCCCAGGCTGAGCCCCACCTGCCTGCGCCTGGGCTCAGCCTCACCGAAGGTGCCACGCACACTGCTCACGCTGGACGAGCAAGTGGTGAGTGGCCGGGGTACCCCCAGCCCTATCCCTAGACCCGGTCTGAACCCAGCCTGCCCAGCTCTCGTACACCTAGCCCTGACCTTGATCCTGGACAGGAATGTAACCCCAGCGAAGCTGGCTTTTCAGAGAGGGTAGCAGAGGTCATCTGGAGCCTGGCCTCTATAAATAAGATCTAGACCAGCAGCATCCACATCACCTGGGAGCTTGTTAGAAATGCAGGTACTGGGCCCAGCCCCAGGCCTATTGCATGAGAGCAGGTACTTTAAGATCCGATGGATTTGGGAGGGAGTCGGGGTTTAGGAGCTGGGGTGGAAGTGGGGCTGCAGGAGTCGGGGCGGGGGGTGAAATTAAAGTGAGGACGATGGTTAGACAGGATTAGCAGGAAGAAGCGAGGCCAGAGCTGGAGGGAGATGTGTCTTGTTTGTGTGGGGCCACAGTTTCCTTGAGTTAACCCCAGATGGAAAGGAGCCGGGAGCACACAGGGAGCGGAGGTGGTATGGGATTCAAGGGCGCCAGAGGCTGGGGTGGGGGTGCTGGGGTTGAGGGAGCAGGGGACAGGCTAGCTTTGAGATGAGGAGGATGACGATGTGAATGTATATCGAGATGAGTGCATGGTATTTAGGATCCTTTCCATGAATCCTCTCCTCTGTGGACACAGGAGAGCCAACCCCTCCCAGCACCGTCCCACCTGGGGCCTCCTCTACCCTCCTGAGCACTGGGAGCGGACAAACAAACCCACTTGATGGGCGAGGACACAGATGGCTTACAGAGGCCGGCGCTCAGGACTGGGCATCAGGGCAGCCCGGCCTCCAGGCCAGTGTCCCATCCGTTCCCCAAGACCCGGTGCGGGGGACTGGGAGGGACTGAGGCCCGTGTCTTCTGCCTGTGCCTTCCCTGCCCCCAGCTGAGCTTCCAGCGCAAGGTGGGCATCCTGTACTGCCGGGCGGGCCAGGGCTCGGAAGAGGAGATGTACAACAACCAGGAGGCAGGACCCGCCTTCATGCAGTTCCTCACGCTGCTGGGCGACGTGGTGCGGCTCAAAGGCTTTGAGAGCTACCGGGCCCAGCTGGACACCAAAAGTGAGACCCAGCCCTGGCCAGTTTGGCTCAGTGGGTAGAGCATCAGCCTGTGGGCTGAAGGGTCCTGGGGTTGACTCTGGTCAAGGGCACATACCTCGATTGCAGGCTCAATCCCCAGCCGTGTTTGGGGTGCGTGTGGGAGGCAACCAATTGATGTTGGGACTCACATCGATGTTTCTCTCTCTCTCTCTCTCTCTCTCTCTCTCTCTCCCTCTCCCTTCCACTCTCTCTCTCTAAAAAAAAAAAAAAAAAAAAAAAAATCAATGGAAAAATATCCTCTGAGACCCAGGAAGCTGGGGGTGGAGGGTGGGGGCAGCCCCGTGCTGAGGGGCAGGATGCCTTGGTGAGAACCAACTGTCTTGTCACTTTTCTGTCTCATATTGTCCTAGGGGTGGGGCCAGGAGTGGAGAGTTCCTTGGGTGGCTGGGGACATGGGTCAGGGGCTGCACAGGCAAACCCATGGGCTGAAGGAGGGGCTGGGACTGAGCTGGAGCCAAGGTGGTCTGGAGGCACCACCCCCTCCATCAAACGCACATTCCACTCCGGAGAGCGCCTGCCTCCTAGCCAGACGGGCCCAGGCCCTAGGAGGTGTTTTTATGGAGCACCTCCTGCCTGCCTTCCACTCTCATTGCTCCACACGGGCTGGTGCCTGGGCCAACATCTGTCCTCCCCTAGGACATCTGTCCTGCCTCTCTCTTAGCAGGCCATTTCTTATTTCTGTCTTCATTCTGTCAACACCCCAACCTGACCCCAGGCTGGAGGCTGGAACCTGTGGGGGAAGGGGAAGGGAGCCGCCAAGGCTGGAAGCCTCGTGGCCTGGACACGGGCTGGTGGCATGAAGGGGCTGTCCACCTGCGGGGTGGGGGCACCAAGGCTCCTGACTCCGGACAGAGATGGCCGGCAAGTCCCCCAGACGGCCCTTTCTCCCTGTGTCCCAGCGGATTCCACGGGCACGCACTCGCTGTACACCGTGTACCAGGACCACGAGATCATGTTCCACGTGTCCACGATGCTGCCTTACACCCCCAATAATCAGCAGCAGGTGTGAGGGGCTGGGGTGGGGGTGTCCGGGGCTTCAGGGGAGCCAGGGGGGGTGCTGTGGGGATGGCAATCTTGGAGCCTTGGTTTGAGCTCTGATGACCTGCAACAACCCTCCCCGCTGCTAACGCTCCTCAAAGGTGGCGGATCCACCGGTGCCCAGGCTCTGTCCTGCTCGAGCGCGGAGGGACTTGGGGCAGACAGGTCCCACTCACACCCCCGCCGTCCTCCCCCCAGCTCCTGCGGAAGCGCCACATCGGCAACAACATCGTGACCATCGTGTTCCAGGAGCCAGGCAGCAAGCCCTTCTGCCCCACCACCATCCGCTCACACTTTCAGCACGTGTTCCTGGTGGTGCGGGCACAGGCGCCCTGCACTGCGCACACCTCCTACAGGTGGGTGCCCGGGCGGCCCCAGCTCTGCCCTGGACAGGCCTCCCTGGATCCTTCCTGTGGCCCCTGACTACCGTCTTCCTCCCCGTAGGGTGGCCGTGAGCCGCACCCAGGACACCCCAGCCTTTGGTCCGGTTCTGCCCCTAGGTGGAGGCCCTTTCCCGGCCAATGCCGACTTCCGGGCCTTCCTGCTGGCCAAGGCGCTCAATGGCGAGCAGGCGGCGGGCCACGCACGCCAGTTCCACACCATGGCCACGCGCACGCGCCAGCAGTACCTGCAGGACCTGGCCACCAACGAGGTGACCACCACGTCGCTGGACTCGGCTTCACGCTTCGGCCTGCCCTCCCTGGGCGTGCGGCGGCGGGCGTCCCCTCGGGGCGCGGGAGCCGAGCTGCAGGCGGCGGGCGCGCTGGTGTGGGGAGTGCGCGCGGCGCCCGGGGCGCGGGGCGCGGCCGGGGCCCAGGCAGGCGGCCCCGACCACCCCGAGGTGCCCTGCCTGCTGGGCATCTCGGCCGAGGCGCTGGTGCTGGTGGTGCCACGCGACGGCCGGGTCGTCTTTAACTGCGCCTGTCGCGACGTGCTGGCCTGGACCTTCTCGGAGCAGCAGCTCGACCTGTACCACGGCCGCGGGGAGGCGATCACCCTGCGGTTCGACGGCCCCCCGGAGCAGGCGGTGGGCGAGGTGGTGGCGCGCCTGCAGGTGAGACCGGGAGGCGGGCGGGGCGCCGGGGCGGAGCCTGCGGTGGGCGGTCGTGGGGCAGCCCTGCCCGAGTTGGGCAAAGCCGGGACTGCGGGCCCTGGGGCGGGCGACCCTGGTCTCCGAGCCCGAGCCCTCATCGGCCGGTTCAGTGGGTAGAGCCTCAGCCTGTGGGCTGAAGGGTCCCGGGTTTGACTCTGGTCAAGGGCACATACCTCGGTTGCAGGCTCAATCGGGGGGAGGTCTGTGCGGCCGTGGGCGAGGTTCCCGGGGCTGGCGCTGGGGCGACCCCTCCTCCGCCCGCCCCACTCATGCCTCGCTCCGCCCCAGCTGGTGAGCCGCGGCTGCGAGACCCGCGAGCTGGCGCTGCCCCGCGACGGCCAGGGCCGCCTGGGCTTCGAAGTGGATGCCGAGGGCTTCGTCACGCACGTGGAGCGCTTCACGTTCGCGGAGACGGCGGGGCTGCGGCCCGGGGCGCGCCTGCTGCGCGTGTGCGGCCAGACGCTGCCCAGCCTGGGCCCCGAGGCCGCGGCTCAGCGGCTGCGCTCCGCGCCCAAGGTCTGCATCACCGTCCTGCCCCCGGATGAGAGCGGCCGGCCCCGCAGGTCAGGGCGCCGGCGTGGGTGCGGGCAGCGGGAGGGCCGGGCGGCTCCTCCTGCGTCGCCAGCAGCTGCTGAGGGCCCGCCCCTCGGGAGAAACCCCAGGCCCCGTCTCTGCGCAGCCCTGTCCTCATGGGCCGGGTGAAGCCATGCGTGTGCGAGTTCTGCTGGAGCCTTACTTACAGACACTGACCTTTGAGTTGTATGAGTTTCTCGTGTCATGAAATGTTCTGATTTCTTTCAGCTTTTCTCAGCTTGCGTTAGTTAAGAAACGGGCAGAAAAGGCAGAGGCTGGATTTGGTCCCCAAACTGTAGCTTTTGGATCTCTATGCTAAATGATTCACCTGTGTCATCTTTTTAAAATATATTTTTATTGATTTCAGAGAGGGAGGGAGAGGTAGAAACATCAGTGATGAGAGAGAATCATGGGTCGGCTGCCTCCTGCACGCCCCGCACTGGGGATAGAGCCGGTAATCAGAGATGTGCCCTGACGGAAGTCGAACCGTGACCCCCTGGTTCATTGGTCGACGCTCACCCACTGAGCAACACCAGCCGGGCATGTGCCTGCGCCATTTAAACCCTTACCGGAAGGTATGAGGCCAGGACTGTCGCCTCGTTTCACAGGCGGAGAAATGGACAGTGACGTGCCTAGGGCACACAGGACAGCACTGCGCTTTGGATTAAAGTCTGGAAAAGCGGCCAGTAGCCAGGCTAACATTTTTTCAGTGTTAGGGAGTGTGGAGAGCTCTCCTCCTGGAAGTGAGCCTCGACAGCTGGGGGTGGGGCGGGGTGTGCAGGAAGCTGGGGACGGGGCCTTCCTACCTGAAGCTCCCCTCCTCCCCCAGGAGCTTCTCGGAGCTGTACAGGCTGTCCCTGCAGGAGCCCAGCCGGCGTGGGGCCCCAGAGCCGGTGCAGGAAGGGGCCCCTGAGGAGGCCCTGATGCCCTCCACGAAGCAGCTGCTGCACGTGTGCCTGAGCGAGGGCAGCGGTCCTCCGGGGCCTGGGGACCTAGCCGAGGAGCGGACTGAGTTCCTGTGCAGCCAGAACTCGCCATCGCCCTGCAGGTGCACCCTCTCGCCCTCGCTCTCCTGCAGCCCAGTGAGACTGCGCAGGCGGCCTCTGCAAGCAAGGGCCGTGGTGCAGCTTCCAGTGCTGAGCTCTCCTTGCTCTCCCCAGCTCCCTGTCCGATGAGGCCCCAGTCCTGCCCAACACCACCCCAGACCTCCTCCTGGCAACCACGGCCAAGCCGTCACCTCCTGGTGCTGGCAGGGAGACACCCCCCACCCAGGTGAGCAGAAACCAGGCTCTGGAGCCCTACCAGCAGGGGTGGGCACAGCGGTGATGGTGGGCATCACGGCACCCATACCCGTTTCCGCCCTCAGGAGGGCCCAGCCAGCCCCAGTGGCGGTGAGGACAGAGGCGACCCGGCCCCAGAGATGAGGGCCTCCTTCCTGCCACGAACCTTGTCTCTTCGAAACTCCATCAGCAAAAGTGAGTCTGGTGCAAGGTGGAGTACAGGGTCGGAGGTGGGCCGTGGGCCGTGGGCCGTGGGCAGGCTGCCGGCGCTTCCCTCGCTGAGCCCACCTCTTTGTGCCCAGTCATGTCGGAGGCGGGCATGGAGACTCTGGAAGACGAGTGGCAGTCCATCTCGGAAATCGCCTCCACTTGCAACACCATCCTGGAGTCGCTGTCCCGGGAGGGTGAGTGCTGGGGGGAGGAGCCAGGAGGCGGCTCTTACTTCCTTTACCAATCTGCTGTTCCTCTTTCCCCGCAGGACAGCCCATCCCAGAGAGTGGAGATAACAGGGGAGCCCCAAAATCTGATGCTGAGTAAGGCTCCCCTCCCCCCGCGATCTATTCCCTTCACTGTGTCTGTGCAACCACCATCTGTGCCCATTCAGTGGCTTTAAGCACGTACATATGTCTGAGAAGACTGGGGGGGCCCTCTCCGGTGGGTCTGGGGCCAGCTGTGGTACTGACCGCTGCCTCAGTCCAACTGAGTCTTGACCCCCATGTCCTCAGGCCAGAACCCAGGAGCTTGTCAGAGAAGGTCTCTCACCTGGAGTCCCTGCTCAGGAAGCTGCAGGAGGACCTGCAGAAGGTGACAGGGTGGCTGGGGTTTGTGGGGGAGTCGCAGGGCTGCCTCAGGGAAGGGACCCACCATTCTGACTCCTGCTGCCTCGCCCCCCTCCCCCGCAACCCCCAGGAGAAGGCAGACCGAGCAGCCCTGGAGGAGGAGGTTCGCAACCTGCGGAACAACAACCGCCTGCTCCTGGCCTCGCAGCATCTGGGTTCACCTGCCACGGACTTGGCCTGAGCCGCTTGGTCCAGCCTTAGCCCGGCTGTGAACCTGCTCAGAACTGCCCAGGTCCTTCACGGCCTGGGCCCCCTCAGGAACTCTCCCTGCGCAGAGGCGCGTCTTGGCACTGCCCCCACTCCCCAGCCCATTACCGGTGGCGAAGTTTCCCCTGCCCCATCCTGTGTGTAAATATTCTGTGAGAAAAGGGGACTTCAGGGATTAAAGAAGCCACTGCAATTTGTGTCTGTTTGTGTTTGATGTTCATGACAGGGGAAGGGGTTTTGCCCTCAGAGACCCCAGCCAAGCTCCCAGGACCTGTCAGAAAGGCAGGCCCAGGGGACATGGGCCCAGGGCTGGGCTGGCACTCACTGAGGGTCTCTGATGCTCGGCCGCCCTTTGGCTTCTCTTCCACAAACATTCATTTGGTCTGTGGGGAAGCAGGTGGCCACACCCACACCTGTTCTGCTTGGTTGTCCAAACTAGGCCCAGCCAGGTCCCTGGCCTGGAACCAAACCTGAGGGGCTGAGATCAGGGGCAGAGGGTGGGTCAGCAGGACAGGGAAGAGATGGAGTTTAGGGGTCAAGGACCCTGACCACCCCCTTTTCACCTTGCAAGGCCCTCCCCGCCCCCGCGCAGCCCCTCCTTTCCTCTCTAGTCACCGAGCTCCCAAGCCTGGCACTCCCTACTCCCCCTCCCGAAGGGCCAGATGGTACAGGGCCCAGTTCCGGAGTGGCGGTGTCTGTGCCTCAGTTGCCTGGAAGAAATCAGTCCTGGACCTACTTTTCTCCTCATCAGCCTATGACCACTCACCAGGCTGGGCCCTTTCCCATGAGCAGATCCAAACCTGAATTGCATCTAAACCCGTTTTCTGGATCTGAGGCTCCAACAGGGCACAGACTTGCCCAGCGTCACATGCCTGCCCCGCTCTCTGCAGGCTGGCTGGGCTCACCATTAACTTAGGCTCTGGCTGGCTGCACTAGGCTTTGAGTCACAGCGTCAGGGTGTCAGGCTTCATTCGGAAGGTAGTGAGGGCTGGGTTTTGAAGGTTGGGTTGAAGGCATTCTGGGCAGCACCAGTCTGGGGACTGCTGGACCGGCATCAGGGCAAGAGGCTGGAGCTGACGCAGAAAGGGCTGTGAAGGGTGCATAAAGGGCTGTGAAGGGTGCATAGGGGTCCCGGACTAAGTTCCCAACACGTCCAGCTTCTACCTGCTCTGGGCTATGCTGAGCAGCCCTCACGGGCCAGTGTGGAAGGCTCTGGTCGCTCTCTGGGTGTGTGTCTGCAGAAAACAGATCTGGTCATGTCGTTGATAGATGTTCGAAATGAGACTAATGAAGTGAGATTTGGCTGCAGGAAAAGTAAAGCCAGGGAGGAGGCTGTAGCAGCAGCCCTGCTGGGAGGTAGTGGAAGCCTAACGAGGCGTGCTAGGGGTGGAGATGGGGAGAAGGAGGCAGACTTGCCAGGACCTGGCTTGGGGAGAAAATGCAGCGTCCACAGTGGTAGCCCCAGGAGGAGGACAGGGGCAGAGCTGAGATGGGGAGAGTAGGCTGGGGAGTGCTCTGGTAATTTGAAATGGCTCTTTGGAGAGGGAGGCCGGTGTGAGATGTCCAGTGGACTGGCATGCAGGAGAGAGAGGTCTAGGCTGGAGATAAGAATTTGGGGCCGGTGCTCCCTGAGCAGGATGAGGTCACTCAGGAAGTGTGGGAAGGGCCGTTAGAGGGTTTCCGGGGTCACGGGAGGACACTGCCGGACGCTGGGAATGCCAAGAGCGAAGCGAGGCGTGGCAGGAGTGCCCCTCTATGCCCCAGGTTGGCCACGTTTGGGGCAGCTCCTGCCCCGCCATCCGCTTCCTCGGGTCAGGGTTAGGGTTAGGCTTCTCACCAGACAAGGCCCCTCCCCCGGCGGCCCAGGACATGGCTCCCTCAAGCCCCGCCTCCCCAGGGCTGCCCGGCAGGTTGGCCGGGTCTTGACCCGGCCACTACGGTCAGGCTCCGCCCCTCGCACGGAAGTGCCGCTGGTGCCGATCCCGAGGAGCTCACCCTGTTTCAGGCCCCGCCGCTGACCCCGCCCCCTGACCAAGAGGCTGCAGCGAGGTCCACGCTACAGACGTTTTCCGGTTTCACAACATTCCGCCGCCCCTGCACCCAGTCTACGTGTTCCCACGGGCCTCGCTAGCTGTTGCAGCAAGTCCCACTGATAAATCGCTTGCCCCTGCCTTCACCCGGCTGCAACAGTGCAAAACCCGGAACACAGACGTCATCTGCTACAGGGCAGGGGTTTTCCCCGAGCGCGTTACCTGGTTTCCGGGCACACAATACTACATGTGCGCATGCGCACTCATTAAGGCCGGGCCCAGTGCACCGGAATCCTGCTCTACTGCGCATGCGTCAGGCCGAACCGGAAATGCCTCTGTTCCAGCCCTTCGGGTCGTGGCCTGGCTTTTAGGCCTGTGGGGCTGCCGAGTTGAGATTTCTTAGGTCCTTGGTCCTAAGACCACAGACCTTACCTGGCACATACTTCCCCCACAGATACACTCTCTCCCTTGTCCACCCAAAAGATGAAGTCCAAACCTCAGTCAGCATTCTTGATCTTTCACAGCCTGGCCCCAGTGAACCTGCCCACCCCGTTCTTCCCTGATCACCTACAAACGCTGGCTGGCCCCTCTCTGACATCCACCTCCCTGTTTATCTACGAGCTGAAGCTCCACAGCCAATAGGCGCTGTAGGCTTTCACTACCCTGAGAAGCCCACCCCTTGGCGGTCTACTCTCATCCACTGGACAGCGACTAGGGTTTCCAAGGGCGTCCTCAGACTGCGAGCTCCCCAATGACTAAATATTCATCCAAGTCTGTATCACCAAGGCCCGTCTGACGTGACCAGCAAGGAGTGCGATTAAAGAAGGCAAATCTGTTAGCCTTGGCAACAAATTTATTAGTTCAGAGTAAGAGCAAGAGTCCAACTGCTTTGATTCTTCAGTAAAAATTGAGCCTGTTGACTGGAGAGCTGCCAGCCTGCCCTCCCCCCACTCTCCAAACAACTCGCCCTTCTATTAAGGCACTTGAAAAAGGGGAACAGAAAAGTCTCAGACCTAACCTCCCTGGATATGGAGAGGAGAGGGCCAGAGCTGTCCCACCAGTCTCCTCAGCCACAGCTGAGCAAAGCCAGAGCCGGCAGAGACCTTGGCAGGGCAGGAAGTCCAGCCTCTCAAATGCTGGTGTTAGGCACAAGGGAAATGCCAGCACCACCGAAGAGCTGGTCACAGGGGCATCATTTTGGCTCAAGTGTAAATGAACCCATGGTTTGAGTAAGACACTTGACAATAAGGCTTTGTGTGGCCTCCAAGGCCATAGCTCCAGCCTGTCCCTCTCTGGGAGGTACTAGAAGCTGGAAGGTGGGGTGGAGCCTCCAGAATTCCCTACAGAGGAGCTGAACATCAGGACAAGGGAAGGGTCTGAGTCCTCCCAACTCCATTTCCAGAGAAGTTAATGCTTCTGCTTAAGCACCTCCGAAATGAGAGATAGATATGGCCAATGAAAGAATAAAATGCAACCCCCCACCACCACAAAGACATCATCACCCAAAGAAGTTGGGGGCAGTTGGAGCACCCCTCCCCCCAGAATCCATAAGTGCTTGCTTTGGGAGGGCTTCAATCTCCTGCAACCCAGTGCTCTGGGCAAGGCAGGGGTCACCCACTTAGGAGCTGATTTGACTCAGTAGGGCTGAGAAGTCCATGTCTGCGATGGAGGAAAAGTCTTCATCCCCTGAGAGGAGGCCGTTGGCGAGGCCAGCGGCCCCCAGGGGAGCAGGAGCTGGGTCAGGGGGATTCTGGGACCCTGTCACCAGGCGTGTTATAGCCTCAGGGTACTCCATTAGCATGGGCTCCGCTGTGTGGGGAGCCATAGAGACACCCTGGTTCAGCATCTGCTGAAACTCAGAGTTGTCGACGGAGGCCAGGTCCGTGAACACGGCTGGGTCAGTATTATTGCCCAGCAGGGCCCCCAGGTCTTCATCAGCATCAAACTGCAGATGTAGCAGGGCCTCTGTCAGTGTTCCTTCCCCTGCCTGGGTGGGCTTGGGGGCAGGCGGAGCCACAGCCTGAGCAAGGCTGGAGGCTGAGGCTATGACTGGGACAGGGGCTGGGGCTGGGGCTGGGCCCTGAACCAGAGCTGGTGTCATGGCTGAGACAAGGGCTGGTGCCAAGGCTGAGGGCTGGTTTGGGATCTGCCCAGAAGAAAAGACCATGGGGGAAAACTCCTCAAAGTTGATGGTGCTGAGGGATGGCGTAAAGGGATAGGGCTGGGGAGCTGGAAGAGAGACAGAGAGACAAGGGTCAGAGAAAGCCTGAGACCCACCCCGTCTTCTATATCCCAGCCCATCAGTATGCACAGGACCAACCCCTCCCTGTGGAGTCCCTGCCAGCACCCTTTACCCAGTCTGACCAGGCTGGGGGTCCAGGTCCAGCCCCACCTCCGTGGAGCTCTATTCACTCCAGCCCAGAAAGCTCTCTCAGCCTTTTAGAGGAAGGGATGCTTTCAGAGGTCGGCTGGTAAAATGTCATCTCAGAGCTGAAAAGCCAAGTCCCAGGAGGGCATGGGCCCAAGGAGTATCCAGCCAGTGTTGTCTACAGCGGGGCACTACATCACTCTTTTCTGAGCCACACACCAGCACGTACATTTTGCTACTTTAGACGTGTTTCTTTGTTTCCCCAATTCAACTGAGAGCTGAAGGCAGAGACGGTGGGCTTTTTAACTCTGGATCCCTAGGTATCCAATATGGAGTTTCTAACTGGCACAGTGGTTCTCAGACCTCACTGTGCGTTAGTGTCCCCAGGAAGTAGCTGGTTCCTGACCACACTTCCAATGCTTGATTCCAGATGTGCAATGGGCCCGGGAATCTGCATCATTACCACTCCCAGGTGGCTCTGGCAGAGATAATTAGGCTGCACGCCCTGAGAAACATGAGCCCAACACACAGCAGTTGTCAGACACCTGCGGATGAGACTGACTGCTCTGTTCTCTCCCAGCGGATGTGTGAGCCACAGGCCGAACAGACGTGAGCCTGTAATTCCAGTGGGACAATAGGAAACCGTTACCTGGCTTAGGGACGGAAGTTGAGCTGCGGGAAGGCACGGCAATGCGCCGGGGAGGAGGCCGGGGGTCGGTGGGTCCTGTGGAGCAAGTCTGGGTCAGTTCTTGGCCCCCGGGGTCTCCACTCCCCACCCATGCCTTCTAACTCTCCCCACTCCCCACCTCACCATTGAAAGGACTCTTCTTCATGATGCTCTTGAAGGTCTCGTATGTCCTTTTGCGCTTCTCCTCAATCCGGTGACGATCATCTGGGAAAGTAACGGGGAGAAATGAGTCTTGTTCTTTTCAGCTAGACCCCCAAGCTCTCAAAGGGCCCTCAGGAGGAAGGTGATGAGCCAAGCTTCCCTGCAACCTTTTGTCCAAACCTTCCTAGTCAGTGAGAAGAGCTGCATGACACTCAACGATTCTAAGAATCCCACAGCTTTCTGAGACGCCGCTGTCTGAATCTGTCTCCTCTGAAGGGCACATGAGCGCCTCCAAGTAAAGGGCCCTGGTCTGGGAGAGCAGGGGTCCTCCTGAGGCCCCAATCTCAGCTTATCCTCTTACTTGCACTGCTCACATCCTAGGTCCTCTCCACCTCGATCCAGGCCTGGCGGTGATCTCCTTGTGCTCTGGGACAGCTGAGGCATGGCAGAGGCTCTGTTCTTCTCTGATGGCTTGGGAGTTCAGTCTAGAGCTTTCAGAACTGTCTTCCTAACTACAGCAGCAACTGGGTAACTCCAAGGCACTCAACACCATCAGTCCAGAGCCAGCCTCATCATCTCTCCTCAGAAACCTGGTTCTTTCTCCTCCCATGTTCCCTCCCACCTGTCTGCCCTGTCACCAAATCTAGAAATCTTGGCATCATCCTCAACATC